CTTGGTAATTTTATCTTGACACCTCAGAACATAACATAAAAACCATTTATTCGGTTAAGTTTACTTTTCAGTTTTGTATTTTTTACTAAATTCATGGTAATAAGAACTATAATTGTGAAAACTAAAACTTCCGGTAAACCGATACAATATGAACGGAAAATTTATGAAAAGAGCAGTTTAAATTCAACATATTTTGATTTTATTAACCAGAATAATAAATTATTTTTCGTTTTTCTTTTACCAGAAGTATTATTATCATACAGGACGGTAATTTTACCAGAATTTTTATTCTACATGTACCAAAACAAGAAATAGGCAAATTTTCATTACAGTCCAAAAATAAAAACATTTTATGATGATATATGTAATTGCTTAGTAAATATTTGGTTATTTTTTCCCCATCATTTATTTATAATAAGAATTATGTTATTCCTACCTCAGAGTTAAAGAATGTAAATCCGTAATTCTACTGAATTTTGGAATAAAAAAATGAAGATACTAATTTTTAAATCAATTAACTGAAGATACTTGATTTTGTTTGAAAATAAATATAAAAAAAAGCTTTTAATTTCTGAATCTGTGAGAAAATATTTTTAGGCTGTTTACTACTAATCGGTTGTTAATGTTGTCATTCGAAAAAACAAGAACTTTCAGGTACGGAAAACAGATTTCCTTTTGAGAAATGAGTACATTAAGATTCTTATAATGCAACTTTTAGTATCTCTATCATAAGCTCCTTTGAGATGTCGCATATAAAACCTTCATATAAAATTCTCTCTTAACTACATTAGCAATTTAAAATTTAAAGAGAAGAAAAAATGAGTTCCGTCGAACCAAAAATAAACTACAGAATTTCGTTTGCATAAATTTTCCATTTTGCAAAATTTTCTATTTTGCTTACAATTTAGAAAAATCGAAAATTTTCTATTTTTCTTAATTGTAAGAAAATTATGACAGAACTTTTCCCCCTGTCTATAACAGCAGCTAATCCTATCATAATTTATTTTCAGTTTAAAAAATTTTTAAAAAAATTCGGCATTTGAACTTTTACAATTAACTCTTGGATTATCTGAACTCAATAGTTTAACTTTAAATTTTCAATAGCTAATGTAGTTAGAAAATTTGCATGAAGGTTTTCTGAGGTGAAATATTGTTATCCTAAGACGGAACCCTTCAATTGTTCCAATTTATGAGTTGATCTTAATTTCAATCTTCCGTGTTCTCTGGATAAAAAAAAATGTGTTATGTTCTCCACTTTTCGAAGCGCTTTCACAGTTTTTTTTCTTTTAAACACTGTCTATGAAAATATTTTAAGGCAGTTCAATCCCGATCGATCGTTATTGTTATTAATCCAAATGTAACTAGCGCTCCCAGCACAAAAAACAAATTTGCTTTTGTGAAAAAGAGTACATTTGAACCAGATAATACAACTTCTGGCATCTCCATTAGCTCCTTTAAGGTGGAGATTTTAAATTGTTCAAACTTATGAGCAGATCTTAATTTTAGTCTTGCATGTTCTCTGGAAAAGGATAGTTTTATTTTCCTCATTTGCAGAGGTATTTCTCCAGTAAAATAAAACATTGAAACCAGACAAACTAAGTAGAACACCAAATAGAATGCGTGTTCCGCAAACACGTGCATATGGTCACCAACGTGCAAAATCAATGGTTCAGCTCCAGCTAAAAAATAAGCTATTATTGCAAAGGTATAAAATATTAGTGACAAGCAATGGCAAAAAGAGCTTAAAGAGAATGTTTCCTGAATTATTTCCAAACCGTCGAGCAAAACTAGATACCTTTTAGCAATTATGTCTTCGAGGTCAATAATATTCGATGAATTAAATGCCTTCTCCATGTCATTTAAAAATTGTGTAAAATACAATGATGTGTAACGACAACATGATACATAAAGTACTAGCATACAGTTGTTAAATATTAAAGTAGAACACTGCAATACAAAGTATTTAATAAAAAAGCAAGCATTTCCCAAATAAATATTGTCTATTTTAATGTTATACATTAAAAATGTAGCGTATGTAAGTCTTGATTCATTATTGCATAGGACACAAAACAGGATAAAATACAGAATTGGTGTTGTAAAGGCAAAATAGAACATGAGTTTTATTTTATTCTTTTCTTTCTGGTCCACATCGTCGATATATTTTCCTGAACTTATTTTCTTTATGAATTTGAACACTTTAAATATACCACGACTGTTTGCACGCAATGTATACCAAGTAAGTATTTGAAGTACATACGAAATAGTGAAAGCACAAATTGCTCTAATATCAGAGAAACCAGTGATTGCTTGAAATGTTAATAATAAGCACAAATCTATGTTTCCAAAAAGAAATAAAATTGTCAATATCAAAGAAAGAACTGATAATGATTTTGATTTTGTTTTTAAGATTCCGCATATAGTAGCACATATTTTTAAGATATATATTTCACTTTTCCTTTTATGAATTTGATTTTTCGGAAGCATTTTTAACTATTACGATTATGTTGAACAATTTCATTCATTCATTTCATGTTGAATAATTTTAATGAACATGAATCCGCTTAATTATTTTGCAAAACATAAATTTAACTGCCATTAAATTTAAGAAAAATTATAAATTTTTCAGCTTTTGGCTATATAATCTTGCTTTGCATTCTCTGTTAGTGTATAAAAATAAAAATTGAGATGTCATGTTATTTAAAAATAAGAAAAACAATGCAGTAATTTATATATTTATCAAATATTCAATAGTCAAAATACGTTTTTTCATAAAATTAATGACTAGTAGCGATGTATTTTGCAAATGCAATTATTTTTGAATTGTATCAAGCTGTTGCGAACTATTTTAATGAGTATTTGTTGACATATGTCGTAAACATATATTACATTACAGAATCATAAATATTGATATTTACATTATATGTAATGAGTATTTTATCTGCAGAATGTAGAAAATGTAAATTTAAAGGTTCTGAAATTATATTACTGCCACTAATTTTCAATAACACAGGAAATAATCACAAACAGGCACAGATATCATATTGATATTTTGAATAACATCTCATCAAAAATTCTAATTATCTTTTTAAAATGATACATTTTTATAATACTTAATTGTTGTTTTTCATATTTTACATTCTAAAAAGCATTTTTTTAAAATTATACCAAAATTTGTTTAGGAAATGAGAATCGTTGTTCTAAAATAAGAAAAAAAAACATGTCATTTTATCTTAGCTACAATTTTTTAAGTGTTAATCTAGATAGAAAAAGTTATTTGGGAAAAAAATAAAAAAACGCATCGATTATATTACACCATCACTATAATGCTGTAAATTTGCATAGGGTAAAAAAAAAAAAAAAAATTTATTTGATTTTGAGCTCCCTTTTAATTAAATACAAAATTTTATTATGATATCGTATAAGCAGGCATAGATATCGTATAATTTCTTCGGATAACATCTCATCAAAAATGGAATTTATTTCTTGAAATGACGCAATTTCATAATATTTAATTGTTGTTTTTCCTATTTTGCATTCTAAATTTTTTTTTTTTAATTCTGAAAAGTTTCTGAAAAGTTCTTTAGTTTCTGAAAAGAAAAAAAAAGCATATTATTTTATTTTAGCTGCAGTTTTTTGAGTGTTATTGAAGAGAAAAGGTAATTTGGAAAGAAGAAAAGAAAATATATCGATTTTATTTCAGTATCACTATATTGTGGTGAATCTGTGTAGGGTAGAAAAGAAATAGATGAATTTCTTCTTGTCTTTTGCTTTTCAATTTTAATTTTTTGGCAAAATACACAATTTTGATTTTTTTTCTCCAATATTTTTTGTCAACAATTTTAAACCTTTTTTTCAATGATAACTTAATACCTGAAAAATTTTTCATTTCAAACTTGTACTTTAGCATACTATAGTAGAAATAAAGCTTATACATACAATTATTTAAGAAAAAGGAAAAATTGAACGCTTAATGTTTAAATACATCCCGATTGAAATTTCGATAATGTTCTTTCAATAACGTAGAACAGTTTTTAAGCAATAATGTTCCGATAGTAAAACATTTTGTGAATAAATTTATTTTATTCATATAAATTTTACGATACTTCAAATTAAAAAAGTTAAGAACTAATAGCAGTATTTCGACTTCAAAATTTATTGCTTCATATTTCGTTATGCAACAAATAACAAAGACACTGATTAACACATAAATATTTAAAGTCACTTTCTCATATATATATGTTTAAGTATATTTCTTTATCACAACAATCATTTGACTCAGTACTAGATAATGAAATGTTTAAAGTATAATTCCTATGCATATATAATAACAATAGGCTTTTATTTTGCATTAAATGAACTAATGCACATATAATAATGGAGTTAAGTATAAATGATTGAATTCTATCTCACCTAAATGTTTAAATTCATTATATAACATCAAAATAATGTTTTTAAAAGTACTCCACCAGACACGTTTTTCTCGTGGATAAACAATTGGTGAAAATGATATCACTTGAAAAAAATCACCTTTTCGTAAATTAATAACATGTGAGTTCTCACATGAGAATTTTATCACAGTTTCGTATTTTAATTATAAAATAACTATTATATTATGCAAATGTTGAGCTGATCTTATAAAAATTTGCTAAAAAAATTGTTCATTCAAGAGGAGAAGAAATTACTTTAATTGTATATAGTTGAAATCTTAATTTTTTAAACCATAAAAATGAGCATTTTTAAAACAAATAAATTCTATAAAAATAATATTTCCCAATTTATAAACAAGAATAATTGCCAGAGATCTCTTATAATAATTGACGAAAGAAAAATTTATCTGAAAACTTTTCTTTATGGAGTCCCTATTTGATGCATAATTGCAAAGTATAAGCCGTTTCGTAAATAGCTAACATTAGTTAATCAAGTGATCGGAATATTTCTTTTTTCTTTGCATTTTTCTGAACAATCATAACTATTTACCAGACTATTTGATGACTACTTACCTCTACCAGATTCAGAGCCATTCGTATAGTTGAATAATTCTAACTTCTAAATTAAATTTTTCAAGTTTCGCGATGCTGAATAAAGGGCAGTAAGTTAAATTTGATTGTTCTCATAATTGTTTACAGAGACGCACACAGAAGGGACATGGTAGTATTTTTTTTATCAAAGCTATCCCATTTAAATTCCTTTGGTTAAAAGATAATAGAAGTATTTTCTTTGGGAAACTGGTTGATAAGTATTTTAGTTGATAAAAAACTTTTTGAAAGGAAATGCGAATATACATTTTAAGATTATATATGTTACCGGCAAAGTTTGAAATCTGGCATTCTACAGAATTCCTAGGCATTGTATATAATGCCTAAAACTAGCAGGCAATGTATGAAACGATTTATATTTCACACATTTCCTAGGCATTCTATAAAATGCCAAATGAGAAATCGGCAAAGTATAAAATGCATCTCCGATTCGTTTCGTAATGTAAGGAAATGTAATTCAAAATGTGGCCATGTGGCAACAAGTAGGTTAATTTCTTATTCTTTTATACGAAATTTTGTTTCCCTTAATAAGAAAGGCATAAATTATGTTTTATACAACTTTAATTTTTCCTTACGGATTTTGAATAAATTTTTTTAATGGAACTCTCATTATTTTTTCAGAATAAGATTTTTGTTTTTGAGAAATGCACACTATTTACATAAAAACCTCACCAGAACGTTTTTTTTCATACTTTGAATAAATAGCATTTGTCATTCTGTAGAATGCCTAGGTGTTATATACAATGTCGAGGGAAAGTATGTAATACTTCTCATATTTCATACCTGGACTAAAAACATCCGACATTATATACAATGACTAGGCATCTATATATATATATATATATATTTCTCTTACACGGCGACAAGAAAAAGCCTTATTACAACTCCCCGAATGGCAACGCTAGAAAATCAACCAATGATTGCCGCTGAAAATGTCACATGCCAAATCTAGCTCAGGTGGCTCAACATATAGCGATTTTAAAAACGGAAACTGAAATATTCACCCTATCAGCTGTGGCAATCTCATACTATTAAGCTAGGCAGAAGTGAGTAGTCTTTGTCGATAGATCTCTATTTTAGTATTTTGTTGAAAGCGCTTTTTTTCACGAATTTATATAAAACGAATTTACTTGATGATTTTTGATTTATATCACGAATTTATTTTTTTTATTATTGTTATTAGCTATTCATTGAAAAATGAGTCTCAGTTGTGCTGTTACGCCTTAAGATTTTATACTATAGCACATTTCTAATCGGTTTAACGAATTACATGTCATTTATTTTATTCAAATTTATTTTAATGACTTAGTATTTACTAAAAAGATGTACTTTTTTTAAAAAAGAAAGTAGTTATATGGATTTGAATGATTGTTTGAAATTCTTAGAATTTCGTGCATTTGCAATGTACCTAAGTTAGTAGTGAGCGAAATGATCTTGGTTTGAGAAGCAAACCATATAAGATTGCGTTGCAATTTTGGGGGGTTGGCGAGCGCCAGCAATGAGGGGGCACTGCCCACTAGTTCTATAGAATGCCGGCGTTTCATACTTTGCCAGTAACATATACAAAGATTAAAATAGATCAATAGTCTCATTTCATTTACAACTGCCTCAATCTTGAGCGATGAATGGTTTTGGCGTATTTAGCATTTAAAAAAAAGATAAACTAAAGAATTGTGGGACCAAAAATTATCTAAAATGATTATATCGTTACTAAATTATCACTTTTTTTTTCAAAATCTACATTCTTACGCTAATAAAACAACAAAAATAAATACATTAAATTTTAAAAGGTATTCGAATCTTTTTCATAGACAATATTAAAGCATACAATGGCTTTATACATTCAAATTTGTTTATTTCTACTTTTATTGAAGGTCTATTTGTAGGTCATTGAGTTTTTGTTGTGCTAACAACGTGACATAGCAACAAAATGCAAGTTGTTTGAAATTTATTTTTTAAAAATGTTTTTTTTTCCGCGTGATTATTCCAGACTGATACTGCTAAGGATCTCAATCACGCACTTACTATTTCCGGTGAGCGTGATGTGATAGATAAATCTGGTCATAGCGCTTCTTTCCAATATTTATGTCTAACCGTTATGATTTCTGAGAGCAAACTATTGCAACATCAACAATTTTTTTCCATATTTTAAATTTTTTTTTTCATTTTCAGATTGTAGAATACACGATTATTTTTAAGATTTTACTCGGTAAGTACCTTTTTCATAATTTAAATAATCAGGAATGAATGGGAATGAAATAATAAAAGGTCATTTAAATGTTTATCATAATTTAATTTGAATTAATATAATTTGAGAACAAGGTCCTAGTGATTACGTATAAAATAATTAAAAAAATTCTATACTCTTTAGTTAGCCAAATGCAAGGAAATTCAACTAGTTTTAAAAATTTTATTTCATTTTTATATGTTTAAAGAATAAATGAAATAACAAATATTTAAAAAAAATTGGTGGGGATCTAAATATTTTGGCGAATTTTCGCTTACGCTTGACTAACCGAAAAGTGCCTAAATTCTTATCTTAAAATTGTCGCAAATCATGTTCGTCATAACTCTACCTACACTGGCAGAAACATAAGCAATAACTACTTGCAACTTTAAGTCAATACCTTTTTGAGTATCCCCTTCTTTTTAAATCCTCTCTCAGCCCATTTGGCATTGATTTATATCATAAAATTGCCGCAAAGTAATATTGTCGCAACTAGCTGGACGGAATATGAAGTTGGTTTGGCATGTAGTTGGTTGTAAAGCAGCCATAGCATTCCAACGAACACCGTGTGTGCTGAGAAACATTATCCTGTTAAAAACAAATATCAAGTCCCAAATTTTATATTGAGTACGTTCGAACTATTCAATTTTGTCACTTCTTGAATCAATGAATTCCAGATTACCAACCTCGCTTCCTTCCATGCACCCCAGACATGCGACACCTCTTTCATGCCAGAGAATCAAAAAGATATTAACTAACTTGAGCTTTGTGCAGTGTTTTCCAAACAAATCTCCGTCTTTTGATGCAAAAAATAAAAAAATTTCATTTATTTAAGTGTCATTTTATTTAAGTGTTCGTTGGCTAAGCTTATCTCTTAACTTTCATCACTCAATAGATGAGTAGACAATTTACGCCGCCAAATGTAATAACGTAATTCAGATCTAAAATTTGACTTGTAATCTATTGATAATAATCTTGGTTTACCTTTTTTCATGCTATGTCAATAAGTATTTGAAGTATTTCTTTCTTTATAATGCCTTGATGCAGGCATATTTGTGTTTTGTTATTTTAATTTATTACTAGACGATGTAACAGTAAAATTTATGTCTCTGTCCACTTTTGAAACCTGATTTTCAGGTTCAAATCCTTCCAAAATTCAGGTTCAAACCCTTGATAAGAAAAAAGTACCATTCAGAAATTCTTGAGATTCATCATGCACAATAAAATATGCATTCATATTACATTAATTTTACAACGCAGTTCATCAATAACGCTCGTTAGCTCCGTATTTTTTTCGATATATTCTTTGAAAAGAACCCAAGAGAGATCAAATGGGATAACTTCTCCAAATACAACAAAAGACTTGAATATAAACTGGATTTCAAATTAAAATTTAAGGTAAAAATGCTGTTTACAGACCAAAATAATAAATAAACAAATAAAAAGGCTTGAAAATCAATATGTCGATGTAATTAAAAACAAATTATGTTTGAATCTTTCAAACAAGTTGGAAAAGAAATTAAGAGAGAACTCGTTAACCACTATCTATCTATCTATCTATTTCCAGCTACTTTTGAAGCATCTTCTTATAGCCCAATAAACGTATATAAAACTCAGATTTCATAAAATGACGTGCACCGTCACAATTTCTTAACCTTTTTGCGCGTAATCGGCATATTGTTATCAGCCTGCGAACTGTCCGGCTTCTTGGGAAACATTTTCAAATAATTGTCATAATAGCATCGTTAAAATTCAGATTTTATAAAATTTCGAAGATAAAACTACAATATAGTAAATGGCAATGTGTAAGGATCCTCAAAACTGCTCGACTTTTTCAAATAATTGACCAAAGTAACATAAACAGAAATTCAGATTTTATAAAATGGCACTAGTGCAGTCACATTTCATTAGTCTTTTAGGTTATCCGGCAGGTGGTCATCAGAATAAGAACTCTCCGGCTACTTGGGAAACATCTTAATAGTTGCCTAAGTAACATTCATAAAATACATATTTTTTTTTTTAAGTAACGTAAGTACGATCCCATTTTAAAAATACTTACCCTATGTTATCTACCAAGACAACGCGACTCACATTTCATGTAAGCCAATTGTTCTTACCTGCCGTAGTTTACTAGCGCAAAAATATTTTCAGCCCTTATATTTTGATGTAAAGGTCTGGCGTTCACGGAGTTTTGAACTATAACTGGATAAAAAGAAATTAACTAGTATACAAGCGTAACATTACAATAACAATAGATTGATTAAAGTAACAAAACAAATCAGATCTGGGAAAATTACACTTTCAAATATGGGATAAAAATTTTTATTTAAGACTAATTTTGAACTCCAAATTAACAAAGGAAAGTAGATGACGATTTAAGAAAACAAAGTTTATAGAAGCAAAATTGTTGGAGAGCATCATTACATGTCTTTACATTACATGTCTACATGTCATTACATGTTACAATAATATTAAATTATATACATATCTTGTTAGCTGATTTGTACAAAATATTTTTGAAATATTTATAACATATGAGAACTATTAAAACATTTATAAAACAGATATTTATTAAAACAGTAATATTAATATTTATTAAAATAGATAAAACGTATATTAATTTCAATTATTGTTAACTTAGAATCCTATTCGACAATGTCTTGAAAAAAAACACTATTTACAAAATTCAAAAAGTTCCTAGAAATTTCGGGGCCTTGGAACCAGTTCTCTCAGACCTTATGATGACTTAATTTGACCCTGATTGCAAAAATATTTCCCTTTGTGGCATGTTATTTATGCTCAGAGAAATATGATGAATACTAAATTTTTCTTTTCAAGGTTTAATCAAGGAGTAAAAATGAAGCATGTCGGCGACGAAACCTTCTCGCAAGTTTATTCCGTGTTACGTGTGCAATCGGCTTTATACTCTTCACTCCTTGAAATTTCACGAGCCTAACTGCTTGATTAGGTGGAGAGCTGAAAATGAGAAGAAACCTATAAAAGAAAGATTAAGAACACCTCAGAAAACTGGATATGACGATGGTTACTCGAACAGTTCTGATGAGGAGGACAAAACGGAATCATACAAGTAAGTGCCAAATCTTTAAAGGAGACGTGAATGTGTGACATGAAAATTTATTTTCTGTCATTTGTCAATTTCCAGTCATGCTTAAAGTGGTTAAACTAACTTGCTATATAGATGAAGCTAAAACGTAACCACTTCACGAGATACAAATTAAGTAAAAAGGGCTGTAATGGTACATGCAATTAGAAACAAATACTACCGAACAGTATGTGTACGAACAATGCTCTTTTATTCCCAAAAGTAAATATATTAAGCATATGATTAGCCAATTGCTCTGAGAAGACGCTTCACGCACGTCTAGATGCTTTTTGTTAAAAAATTTCTAACGGCGTGCTGTACACGTCATCAAACAATTAACACAGAAATAAAAAAGATGTTCTTGGTTCGTATGACAGAAATAAAATATATTGTTTTGATTTAAGAAAAGCAACGAACACTTAACGTCTCGTACTGAATTGCAGTAAATATGTAAGTTCATCTATAAATTTCTTGTCTACGAAGTTGGTTTAAAGACCTTTAAAAACCCTCCTGAAACAAACATTGCCGCTATTGATGAGAGATAGTTTTTTAAGGCCAGGCAGTTGCCTGAACGTTATTTCTGAGTAAGCTTTAGCCTAGAAAAACACGAAAACAGCGTTCTAAACCAGGTGTTTCCAACTTACATGAGGCCGGGGACCACAATTAAAAACACAAATCAGATGGTGGGCCGCAACTTTATCAAAATTTTATGTAGGACTCTCTTATGTTTGAAGGAACATTAAATATTACTGTCAGATTTTAACAAGTAGTACAAAACAAAGGTATTGAATTACAAATTAAAATAAGACGTAGATTTTTAAAAATATTTAATTGCATATTAAAAAATACTGGCTACAATAACTTTAATGTTCACCTATGTATTAAACAATTAATGTGCAACAGATATCTAATTGTCAAGATATAAAACTTTAAAAAGGTTAGTATTAAAACTTACATAGTAGCACACAAAATGTTCAATGAGAAAATTGAGGTTTGTCTGCTGCAACTACCAGAGAATAGATATTTACATTTTAAATTTAAAATTTACAAATGTGTGAGCAAATATTTTCAAAAAGTTAAATCGGAGAATTTCTTCGAGAAAATTTCTATTCGGTTTCAAAAAGTTAAATCGGAGAATTTCTTCGGGAAAATTTCTATACACACATGCTAAATTATATTTACAAAATACAAAAAAAAATGAAATAAGAAAGAGCAACATACACGATTACTTTTGTATTTGAATAAATATTTTCTAGGATGCAAAACCTGAGAAATAAATTTTTTTGCACCGTTGGTATGTTAAATTTCACAGAAACGAAGAAATTAGGTTTTTATTAATGAGAAAAGTATTTTAACCCATACAGATTTTTTACGAAAATTGTCCGACAAAAAATGACAACTAATATACTTTAGTTCGTTGGTCACAAAAAAAGCTTCACAGGCCGGATGCGGCCCCCGGGCCTTCAGTTAGAAACCACTGTTCTAAACCATTCGACGTCATTAAAGGACGGATAGTAGATGGCTTTATATTAGTCAGACAAAAACTTCTAGGTTTATGCGGGACTTCAACACACTAGAAAATTTGTTTTCCATTTCGGGTTGCTACATCGGTGAAAAGATTTCCACGCTTCTCTAACCATCCGCTAAATGTCTGGATACGGAGGACAATTACACAGAAAAGTAACTATGTGGGCACTATAACTTTGAAATAAATTACTTTTTTCCTTTTACTCTTGTATATTTCCTAAACCCTGCGAATCATGCAAAACTTTTGTTTGCATAGTATATTTACAGTACCACTCGCATGGCTACAGCCAATAGTAGTTTTCTTCTGATGTAACCAAATTAGTTATAATGCTACAAGAAAAGTTTGCAAGCTAAATCAACTGAGAGACTGAAAGAGGTGGAAAGAGAGGGATCAAACCTTTATCAGAATAAAACATGTTACAATAATATAACAAATATCAGTATAACAAATTTAACAAGAATAAATAGTAAAACCAATTAATCCTCGAGTTTCATCTTCGAGATGGTTCTAAAAATGCATCATAAGCTGCAATTTTACATAAAGTTTAGTATAAAAGTACATTTAACTTATTTACTTTATAATAATTGTAAATGGACAATAAGTTAGATATTGTTTTAAATATGTTCATCAAAAATTATATCGTAATAAGTTAATGACATCAGATTACTTGATAATAGAGGAACATCGTTTTTACTTTTAAGCTGTTAAATTTCGATTACTCACCGAAATCAAAAAGATAATAGCGGGGAATTATACTAAGAATGGATAAAAAAAAATAATTATTAAAAGTAAATATCATTGGATAAGGAATAAATAAATATATTACCTACAAAAATTACCTTTATAACTGCATTGATTTTGCGCTGATAACAACGAAAGACTCCTGATATCCTCAGTTCACTAATTATTCATTTCATGTTTATCATGAACCACAAAAATCTCACCCAATACGAGATCTCCATAATTCTTTTTTTTTTTTATCATTTGGAATGTTTCAGGTGAACATTCTGATCTACGTTAACCGCAAGCTCTAAACGAATTGATCATCCTTCTCTGGCAATCGAATCTGGTATATATTAGTGGGAAGCAAGAGCTATTCCCAGATCTCGCTGATATTTCTTAATTTACCATTAGCATTAAGCAGCCAATCTATATCCTATTTTCAACCATTAATGCTCAACTTCATCCGTTCAACCATTGAGGATATTTTATTTGTATCGATCTGCCTTCGCTGGGATTCGTACCTGGGTTGCCTCATTGGCAGGCGAGGGCTCTATCAGAGCTAACGCGGTTCGCCCTTAATACACTCATGGACAAAAAAATTAGCGCACCAAGAAGGAGTCGTCAAAATGATACGAAATTTTACATACGTAATGACTACTTTGATATAAGTAAATGATTAGAAAATCAAAGAAAAAGGATAATTTATTTTAGAGAAAAATGCAAAAGAACGGAGGAGTTAATACCCCTTTGGATCCCCTCTAGCTCGAATACACAATGTGATACGATCGGGCATTGAGGCATACAAGTTCTGTATGATGTCTTGAGACATTTCGTTCCATATTTGATGTAACATTGCCTTTAGTTCGTTCAAACTCGGAGGATGCCCAACTCGCCGTCCCAAATGATCCCAGATATGCTCGATTGGAGACAAATTTGGGGATCGGGCAGGTCAAGGAAGGGTAGTAACAATACGGAGACAGTCTTGTGACTCCCTTGCCGCATGAGGCCGAGCATTGTCTTGTTGAAAAATGGCTCCTGGCAGCCGCTGCATGAGTGGCAACGCATGTGGTTGGAGGATTTCATGGACATACCGCTGGGCTGTCATGGTGCCACGGAACAATACTAGGGGTGACCGTGTATTGCAGGCAATGGCAGCCCATACCATCACACCAGCTGTGAGAGTGGTTTGTCGCTGTAAAGCAAAGGCAGGATTGAGGCGTTCAACACACGAACACGATAGTCATCACTGCTGAGATTTAATCTGGATTCGTCGCTAAAGACGACCTGGTTCCATTCCGCTGCAGTCCAGTTCCAAAACTCCAAACCGAGGCGTCGATGGGTGGGCGCGATTATTTCTTGGTGGGCTAATTTTTTTGTCCATGAGTGTATATAGTCAAATTTATTTTCCGCCCAATTAGGGATATTGTCGAGGTGAGCCGAGCGCAGTTTGCGGATCGACCAGCCATCGCTGGATTTTGAGCCACAGCCTCTTCAAAGAGAGGCGAGAGCTCTATCCTATGAGCCACCCCGACTCAATCGGTATTTTTTGCATTTTCATTTTTAATACATATAATTTGCAAGTTAGTTTTCTTGCAGAAAAATACATCGACCTGGAACTAGAACACTTTCGAGTCCAACGCCAAATATCATCCATCCTGTCATTTCCCCGCCTTCTAATATTGCCAAATCTGAATCCACTTCCATGACAAAAAATGCTCATCAATCTTCCATCAATAGTCAATCGCCAATCAAAATAAGTAGAGAAAGTACAGGTGATTACTCAATTCTTTCAGTATTTAATTTTTATAAGAGTACACATCGAATGTTTTTAAAACAAACTTAATATGAAACTAAAATTGTTTGAAAAAAAAATTTCTATGAAGATTTCTCTATTATGTTTTAATGGAATTATGCTGTGAGATTAGTCAATAAATGAACATTCGTAGACGAAATCAGGAATTATAATTATGAAAAGGTTACATACGTTTTTGTAGTGAAATACTCTTATTTTTGACCCTTGAAATATCCTTATTGTTGATTTTTTTTTAAATTAATTTTGTATAAATCGCTTGGTTTCAAAATTATCTTACTTCATTTCTATCAGTACTGTCTCCCCTTTTTTTTATAACATTATTCATCACTTTTTTTCGTTTCATTGTCAAAAATAAAACTATTTCGAATATAGAGTACAAAACATAAAAACTAATTTAATTTAAAAATTCAATATTTTAAAATAATTACGGGTCACGCTTCTTTTCAAAAAAATTTTGTTTATTATTCAGTGGTTTAAATCGGCATTTCCTTCATTGCAGTTCTATAATGAATATCAAAACTTTATCATAACATTATTTTCAGCTAGTGTTCAAGCATTTATTTTCACGATTTTCATTAGTAAAGTGTTCTAAGAGCATCGAATCATTCAAATGAAAAAATAAATATTTATTCAATTAAATATATCTTTTATTAATTTCATTAATTTTTAAAATATTATACTGTGCTAACTGTTTTTGACGCCATGCTTTGTCACCTTCCAAAATTATCTCGTACAACATATAAACTTTAATGGTAGTAACTGAGCGAGTCGAATGCACGGCACAACCGCATTTAAATATTCTAATTCTCCCACCCCTCCGCCAATCCTAATAGCTTAATTAGTTTTAAACAATATATGAACCAAATTTTTTCATCATCTTGCTGTTGCTTGCGGCTTCTTTTACCAGCTCAGAAATACTTTGATTTCAATGCTAACTATTTTCCGGAGATGTTCGCAATATTGTCAACGTTCTTTATGTATTGAATTTTAATAATAATTTAACATCTGTCCGATAGCGATTAACCACCGTAAGTATGCATTCGGGGCTTTCTACGTAGTGGATGGCAAAAGTATTAAAATTATTTCCATCTCTGTCACAAAGATAGAAAATTTAACCCAATACTCTATTACGTTCAATATTAAGTAATATATATAAATACTAGTGGGCTGCGCCCCCTGCTCGTTAACGCTCGCCAACCCCCGAAAATTGCTACGCAATCTTATACGGTTTGGTTCGCAAACCAAGCTCGCTTCGCTCGCTACTAACTTAGGTACAGTGCAAATGCACAAATTTCTAAGAATTCAAAACAATCATTCAAATCCATATGACAACTTTTTTTTTAAAAAAAAAGTACATCTTTTTAGTAAATACTAAGTCATTAAAATAAATTTGAATTCAAATAAATGACATGTAATTCGTTAAACCCCTTAGAAATGTGCTATAGTATAATTCGTGATATAAATCAAAAATTGTCAAATAAATTCGTAATATATAAATTCGTGAAAAAAAGCGCTTTCGACAAAATACTAAAATAGAGATCTATCGACAAAGACTTTTTTTGGTGCCGTAG